GGCCTCCCAAAGTGCTGGGATTACAGGCTTGAGCCACCGCGCCCGGCCAGAGAAGAAATTTCTTTATCCTTTAAGGCAGTTCGAATCAGGGTTCTAAAGTAGTTGAGAGCATCTGACCAGAGACGATGGTCTAGTTATCTCCCATCTTAAAAGAACCCCCTCCCTAGACCCGTGTGGCCCCTGCCCCAGCTCCTCTCATCTCATGTCCATTCCCTTTCATAGCAAGACTCGTCAACAGTCATCGCACCTGCCCTTACCACTTCTTCACCTCCCATTCTTTTTAGATTATTCCAATCAGGCATGCACCCTTGCCATTCCACTGAAAAACTTTTTTTTTTGAGACTGAGTCTTGCTCTGTCGCCAGGGCTAAAGCGCCGTGGCACGATCTCGGCTCACTGCAACCTCCACCTCCCAGGTTTAGGCAATTCTCCTGCCTCAGCCTCCCAAGTAGCTGGAATTACAGGCACCCACCACCACACCTGGCTAGTTTTTGTATTTTTAGTAGAGATGGAGTTTCACCATGTTGGCCAGGCTGGTCTCGAACTCCTACCTCAGGTGATCCACCTGCCTCGGCCTCCCAAAGTGCTGGGATTACAGGCCTGAGCCACCGCGCCTGGCCCTTCACTGCTGATTCTAAGAGCTTACAATAGTGTATAGCACATGGCAGGCACTAAGTAAATACTTGCTAAAAATATAGAAACTATGAAAGGTTGGAACCACTGTTTTAAAACCCAGTGCAGTGAATAATTTGGGAATTTCAAGAGGGTGCTTTCATGTCATATTCTGTGGGCGCTGGCACCTGGGAAGGGTGGCCAGCTTCAGGGTCCTGACCACCTCTCACTCCAGAAGCACCTGTTAGCTGCTGGACTCCAGAGCCTAGCCACACTTCCTGCTTCAGTGGAGGCCCTAGTGCACACTAACTTTGAGAAAACTGAATCTTCTTGTCTTACACTAACTGAGAGCAGAGGCTCAGTACACACTCATTAATAAATAAATGCAGGAGTCCCTTTCACATGAATGTAATATCCAATTGGGTTGAGGTCTGCCTTTGAATCAAACAGATACCAGTTCTTTCCCTCTTCCTTTCTCCATCCCAGGGTGGAGAAGGAAGTCGGCAGGGTCTGCACTGAGTTCTATACCCCAACTCTTCTCCCTTCCATTCCCTTTCCTGAAGACTCTTGCGCATAATATCATGTGTATCATCCAGCTGTCCCTGGCAACCACAATACTAGGGTTAGTTTTAAACCTCAAAGAAACCACAGATGAGATGCCAGTGTCAAATTTCCACACTGATAAGTAGGAAGCAGGCTCACTTTGGGAGAAAGAACAGAGGTTCTGGCAAGAGGCTGTTGTGACTGGGCAGGCAAGAGAACTAATTCTAGATACTCCTATCTCCCAAATTCTGTGCATTTCCTCCCAAATGCTGCAGTTCAAAGGCCTCTCAAAGATAAAATAACATGGGCTGGGCCTGGTAGCTGCTGCCTGTAATCCCAGAGCTTTGGGAAGCCAAGGTGGAAGGATTGCTTGAGGCCAGGAGTTCAGACCAGCATGGGTAATATAGCAAGACCCTGTCTCTAGAAAACATATAAACAAATTAGTGAGGCACAGTGGTACATGCCTGTAGTCCCAGCTATTTGGGAGGCTGAGGCAGGAGGATCACTTGAGCCCAGGAGACTGAGGCTGCAGTGAGCCATGATCACACTACTGCACTCCAGCCTGAGCAGCAGAGTGAGGCCCTGTCTTAAACAAACAAACAAACAACAACGACGAAGCAATCATTCTATGAGCCATCATATCCAAACTTAAGAAGGAAAATGGTTGGGTCCTTTACAAATCCTTGCCAAGTTTTCCATGGGCCTTCCTAGACTGCTTTCCACACAGCACAGGTCCCCAAGAAAAGGCTCCTCCAGGCCCGCACACTCCTAGCCAACTTAGAAGAATCAAAAGATAGCACTGAGGGACAAAAAAGGGTTTAGCCAGAATTTCCTGGCCCCCGGTCAGAGGCTCTAGTTCCTATGCCATCAGGGCCAGAGCTAGCAATGGTAGCCTGCCAGCTGTGGAGGAAGAGGCGGACCCGGCTTTTTCCTGGTGCTCACCGCCAGCCTCCTGGCTTCCCCCTCTCATCCCACGAAGTCAGCAGTTATAAAGAGGATCGCTTTCAATTCTATTTGAAATAGAGACATCCGTTGTTCCTATCTCGTTCTTGCCAATTCCTCCAGGCCCACACTGGCTCTTCCAGAACTAAGTTTGTTTTACAGAGAGTGTGATCTGCTCGCCTGACTTTGAAATGGCTGTTCAGAACCAGAAACAACCCATGTCCTCTTCTCCTATGTGGATTTTAAGTGCCTTCAAGATGTCAGGACTGGGCGCACGATTGCAGCATTTTGGGAAGCTGAGGTGGGTGGATCACCTGAGGTCAGGAGTTCAAGACCAGCCTGACCAACGTAGTGAAAGCCCATCTCTACTAAAAATTCAAAAATTAGCTGGGCATGGTGGCACACGCCTGTAATCTTAGCTACTTGGGAGGCTGAGGTGGAAGAATTGCTTGACCCTGGGAGACGGAGGTTGCAGTGAGCCAAGATCATGCCATGCACTCCAGTCTGGGCAACAGAGCGAGACTCTGTCTTAAAAAAAAAGATGGCATGTGAGGACAGACACAAGGCAATGCCATGTGACAACAGGGGCTTGGAGAAACACATCTACACACCAAGGAGCGCCAGAGGTTGCCGGCACTCACCAGAAACTGGGAGGGACGAGGAAGGACTCCCCTACAGACGTCAGAGGGAGCAGGGCCTGGCCCACCCCTTGATTTTGGACTTCTGACCTGTGCAACTGTGAGAGAATACGTTTCGATGTTTAAGCTGCCCAGCCTGTGACACTTTGTTATGACAGCCCTTGGGAACTAATACAGTATCACACTCCAAAAAGAACGGGGGCACTTTGGTGCAGAACTTTGAAAGGCTGCCATCAACAGAACATCACTCTGCGAGGAGTGAGCTAAGAGCACCAGCCTTCGTCCAGGCCTCAGCGTCCCGCTCCAGAGGAGAAACCCTGGGGTCCAGGTGGGCACGATACTCACTAGGGCCAGAGTCTAATCCGAGCTCCCCGTCCATTGAGTCACGTGGTCCCCATGGGTACGGCTGTTCCTCCTGCTTGATCCATGACAAAATGTCATGTGCTGAGATGAGAGACTCTGTTGTCATGGAAAGAAGGCAGTCTTAGATTTTGTCATGCCCTCTGGGCCGCCCATCAAAGGTCTGAAAACCCTCCCATGCAGCAGCTGCAGCCTGTAGGGCATGTTTTGGGATCGGTGTTGCACTTCCAGGCCATCCTCCTTACCCTCGTTAAGTCCCTTCCTAAATGGACTCCGCTGCCTGCTGCATTTCGAGTTGGCCAAAAGCAGGTTCAGCCCAAGGTCTGTGCAGTGCCACGGCCAGGATTAAAACCCATATCTCCTGACTCTGCCACTTAGCCCCAGAGGAAGATATGGGGCTGGGACAGGCCAGAGGAAAGCCCCAGATAACAGCCCACAGGGCCATGGCTAACGGGTATGACTCAGAAATCAGCGACGGCAGAGGCCGCAACCAGAGGTCATGGATAAGAACCACAGTGAAGCAGGAAGGCCCCGCTTTCCCTCGGCTCTGCATCCCCTCAACTTCTCTATGGTGAAGTTGACAAAGTACAAGGAATCCTAGATTCAACTTCTCATCCTCTCTCCCTGGTATGGTGGGTAGGATGAGACTTGTGTCCTAACTACCAGGCAATGACACTGGACTTCTCAGCTCTGCAAACACACAGACACACACAGGCCATGGGCAGGTGGAGCCTCCATTTTCTTTTATGCCTCCCTGAATGCCTGAACCCTCCCAACTTTCTTGGGAAGCTTCTAACTAGTATCAACTCAAGAGAAATTCCAAAAAATGTAAATAATTTTCCAACACAGAAATACACACAGCTTTTAGATATTTTTTGGTTGTTTTTATTGTTCAAAAATCAGTGTTCAATGGGTGGGTGCAGTGGCTCATGCCTGTAATCCCAGCACTTTGGGAGGCTGAGGCGGGCAGATCATTTGAGGTCAGGAGTTCAACACCAGCCTGTCCAACACGGTGAAACCCCAACTCTACTAAAAATACAAAAAATTAGCAGGGTATGGTGGTACACACCTGTAATCTCAGCTACTCAGGAAGCTGAGGTAGAAGAATCACTTAAACCTAGGAGGTGGAGGTTGCAGTGAGCTGAGATTGCACCACGGCACTCCAGCCTGAACAGAGCAAGACTCCATCTCAAAAAAACAAAAAGCCAGTGAAGTAATTTTAGTATCAGTTGCACAGACATGACAAATTATTAATTTAATGATTCCTTTTGAAAAAACGCTGGATGCCCTCAATATTAATTCTGGCTTATTCTCACCTGAATTGGGATCTGTGGGAATATCTCTGTCTGCCAAATCCTGCTGATCCCACACGCACTGATGCTCCTCCTGTTTAATCCGAGACAAGAGGTCCTGGGCAGAAATTGGGGAGTCTAGTCGTGGGAACAAGAGCGGCAAAGGTGTTAGAAGATGCGAAATTGCCTGCAAGTTTGCATTTTGAGTAAATCTCTGATTTCATGCAATTATCCTAAACATCAGGTACAATTACGTAAGTCTCATTAACTGCAGGTTGAAGTCAGCTTGCCCCCAATTAATGGAGCTTTTGCTGTACATAAGAGGATACTGTAGGGGGGTGACATCACAATGACTTTAAGAAAGAGTCTTTCTGTGCTGCAGCAACTTGAATCTCCTTAGAATGACATTCCCATTCTGGTGCTGAGACTACCATGGAAAGAGGTATTTCCTCTGGAAAGATGACACGTTCCAGAAAGCCTTTTTTTTTTTTTTTTTTGAGACACAGTCTCACTGTGTTGCCCAGGCTGGAGTGTAATGGTGCAATCTTGGCTCACCACAACCCCCACCTCCTGGTTTCAAGCGATTCTCCTTCCTCAGCCTCCTGAGTAGCTGGCACTACAGGCATGCGTCACCACGCCCAGCTAATTTTGTATTTTTAGTAGAGACAGGGTTTCTCCATGTTGGTCAGGCTGGTCTTGAACTCCCGACTTCAGGTGATCCACCTGCCTCAGCTTCCCAAAGTGCTGGGATCACAGGCGTGAGCCACCACGTCCGGCCTATAGTTGTATATATTTATGGAGTATAAAGTAATGTTACAAGACGCCTTTAAATCTTTTGAATGAGATTTTTCTAAGAAGTGAGAAAAAGACCCTATGTTTTCTGTCTTCTGCAGTCTTTGAAACCTAATTCCCCCTTTACTGCCTTCTTATCTCTTAAAGGCCTCTTTAAAGATCCTAATACTGTGATGCTTTCAAGGATCGTGCCTGATGACAAGTGAACGGGCTTTCCTCTACCCAGACACTGTGATCACTTACCTATGGGTGTGAGGCTCTGACTAAGGGGGGATGAGGTTTGTGGAGCTCTAACCTGCGGATAAGTAAAGGGCTACAGTATGTTAACATGTCTCATGATTGTTGATTTTATGTGTCAACTTGGCTCGGCCACAGTACCTAGATATTTGGTCAAACATTATTTAGCAGTTTCTATGAAGTTGAGATTGGACATGTAAGTCAATGGACTTCGAGTCAAGCAGATTGCCCTCTATGAAATGGGCAGGCCTCATCCAACCAGCTGAAGGCCTAAGGAAAAAGACGGACCTGCCCCAAGGAAGAAGGAATTCCGCCTGCAGCCTCGAGTGGCCACATCAGCGCTTCCCTGGGTCTCTAACCTGCCGGCCTGCCCTGTAAATTTTGGACTTGCCAGCCCCCACAATCACGAGCCAATTCCTTAAAATAAAACAAATCTCTCTTTTACACACACATACACCACACACCCTTATGGGTCCTGTTTCTCTGGAGAACTCTGATACACGCATCTGCTCTAACAGAGTTCTCACCTACAACAGAGTCTAGCTGCAATGCCAGCTAAGAGAGCTCCCTCACAGGACCGCAGGTATGCAGGTGAGCCCATAATTACAGCTCACACCTGTAATCCCAGCACTTTGGGAGGCTGAGGTGGGTGGATCACAAGGTAAGGAGTTCCAGACCAGCGTGGCCAAGACAGTGAAACCCCGTCTCTACTAAAAATACAAAAATTAGCTGGGCATGGTGGCGGGTGCCTGTAATCTCAGGTACTCGGGAGGCTGAGGCAGGGAACTGCTTGAACCCAGGAGGCGGAGGTTGCAGTGAGCCGAGATCGCACCACTGCACTCCAGCCTGGGCAACAGAGCGAGAGTCCATCTCAAAAAAAAGAAAAGAAAAAGGCCTTCCTGGTCAGGGAACAACAGGTCTTCCTGACCTCCCTGTTCCCCCAACCATGAAGCCTTATACTTAGTACTTCTGCCAGGATATTGTTTCTAAAGGGGAAGATGAAATAGTTAAAAATGGATAATATGAGGAAGAGAGGAAACAGAGCATGCTGACCCTAGGTATATCAGCAAACTGTCAATGCTGTTTGCCACGTCTGTGTTCCTAGAGGAATCCTGGCTCAGCCCAGTCCTGGATGCACAGCCCTTCCATTTTGAGCTCAGCCCTCTGGCCTGGCACACACGACAGCTAACCCTGGGGGCTGGAGGACCATGCTAACCCTCTCCCCGCCCCTCCCTGGTGTGGACGGCTGCCTGGCTCACTCACCAGTAATGGATTCCGTGGCGATAGCTCTTTCCTCCAGGGTGCGCTGACCTCGGACACACAGGGCTTCCTCACGCTTCACCTGGGAGGACGCATCCTGTGCAGGAACCAGGGGCTCTGCTCCTGGGGACAGAGAATCACATTGCTTTGTGTCTTTTTTTCTGTGTGCTGGTCACCAGGACATTCTGGGCTCAGGAACATGGCTGACAGCCCTTGCCAGGGGAGAGTATGGGGGTCTCGGGTTCCTGCTAGAGCCAGAGGGACCCTGAGGAGCAGAAGATCTCAGGAGCAGAGAGACAGCCAACATTCAGGAAAAAGGGCTAGGCAAGCAGCAAAATGAGGGGTGATAAGGCCGAACAGAGGATTCAGGAATAACCCAGAGCTGTGTAACGAGCTGGGTGCTAATCAGGACTGGGCCACAAGTTGGACCTCTCTGTGGGAGTCATTAGTCCTTGTTTGTCACCCCCATCAGAAGGAGCTGGCCCGGCTAAGGCCAGACACACACACACACACACACACACACACACACACACACACACACACACACGTGTATATATATGATTTGTAAGAAGCCAGGCGGGATAACAAGGTACAACCAAGCTCTACTGTTGGAGAGAGTGCACAGCCTCCTTACACAGTCAGTCTCACAGTCGCCAACAGGTTCTTGGAAACAGTGAGTTCAAATGAAATGACACATGGCAGATCCTCAAATAACGTCATTTCCTTCTGTGGTGTTTAAGTTACGACATTGACAAGAAAGAAAAATTGGTTGTTTTATGTCATTTCAAAGCCACAGTTTCTGAGACCCCATCAATGACATGAAGTGAAGACTCACGGTGCGTAAAAGACAATGACGCAGGCTCTGCACAGAAGCCCAGCATGCAACAAACAGGGCCGCTCTTCTGATGGCACTCCCTGCTGCAAAAGGAGGCTCGGGCACCAGGAAAGGGATAGGACAAAGATTCTGAAGACTGGGATCCTGGTTTCAACTCTGCCACCAACTCGGTGGATGAGTCATTTAACCTCTCTGGGTTCTGGTCTACTCTTTTCATCTTCAAAAAGGACACAGTGATCCCTATTCTATCTCATGCTCAGTGATGGTCTGATAACCAACTGAAACTGTTGAGATTACACTGCTTCAAATGTAAAAAGCTACACAAGACTAGGTGCTATCACCACCACTGCTGAACTGAAACTTCTGCAGTGCTTGATGAAGACAGGAAAAGAGCCACTGAGAGGAAACGCGCAGGACAGGCAAGCCCATAGACACGGACAGTTGATGAGTGGTTGCCAGGGGCTGGTGGGGAGGGGAGCAGGAAGGAACTGCTTATGGGTGTGGAGTTTCTTTTTTTTTCTTTTTTCTTTTTTTTTTTTTTGAGATAAGATCTACCTCTGTAGCCGAGGCTAGAGTGCAGTGGCACGATCTTGGCTCACTGCAACCTCTGCCTCCCGGGTTCAAGCGATTCTCCTGCCTCAGCCTCCCGAGTAGCTGGAATTACAGGTGATGTCACCACACCCTACTAATTTTTTTATATTTTTCAGTAGAGATGGGGATTCACCATGTTGACCAGGCTGCTCTTGAACTCCTGACCTCAGGTAATCTGCCGACCTCGGCCTCCCAAAGTGCTAGGATTACAGGTGTGAGCCACTGTGCCTGGCCAGGTGCAGGGTTTCTTATGGTAGAAATGTTCTGGAATTAGATAGTGATTCTGGTTGCATGACTCTGTGAGCCACTGAATTGAATTCTTTAAAACAGTAAATGTGATGGTCTGTAAATCAGATCTCAATAGAAAGGAAAGATTGGGAACAGGGGTTGCAGGGGAGACTGTGGCCTTGAGAACTGCTTTCTAAGACGGGTTTCACGAAAATGTTCTCCACTTAAAAACAAGAGAGGACGACAGCTGGGTGCGGTGACTCACACCTGAAATTCCAGCACTTTGGGAGGCCGAAGTGGGTGGATCACCTGAGGTCAGGAGTTCGAGACCAGCCTGGCTAACATAGTGAAATCCCATCTCTACTAAAAATACAAAAATTAGCTGGGTGTGGTGGCGGGCACCTGTAATCCCAACTACTACAGAAGCTGAGACAGGAGAATCACTTGAATCTAGGCGGCAGAAGTTGCAGTAGGCCAAGACTGTGCCATTGCACTACAGCCTGGGCAACAAGAACAAAACTCTGTCTCAAAAAAAAAACAAACAAACAAGGGAGGACACGGTTAGGTGCGGTGGCTCACACCTGTAATCCCAGCACTTTGGAAGGCCAAGGCGGGTGGATCACTTGAGGTCAGGAGTTCAAGACCAGCCTGGCAACCATGGTGAAACCTCATCTCTACTAAAAATACAAAAATTAGCCGGGCGTGGTGGTGGTGGGTGCCTGTAATCCCAGCTACTCAGGAGGCTGAGGCAGGAGAATCACTTGAACTCAGGAGGTGGAGGCTGCAGTGATCCAAGACCATACCACCACTGCACTCCAGTCTGGGTGGCAGGGCAAGACTCCATCTCAAAGAAACAAAAAACAAACCAAAAAATAAATAAATAAATAAGGGAGGACAGAGGGCCCAGACAGGCAAAAGTTCCTACAATGAGGCAGAGAACACAGTTTGAGCACCAGATTTCACCTAGTCCAACAATGCTCAGGAGCACAGGGCCCGAAGAAAGATCTCCAAGGCAGAGGCAGGCCTAGAATCCTAGTGCCTTCCACCCCAGCAAGAGCTCAAGCGTGTGGCTGGGTGCGACGGCTCACGCTTGTAATCCCAGCACTCTGGGAAGCAGGCAGATCACAAGATCAGGAGTTCAAGACCTGCCTGACCAACATGGTAAAATCCTGTCTCTACTAAAAATACACAATTTAAAATAAAAATACAAAAATTAGCCGGGTGTGGTGGCACGCGCCTGTAATCCCAGCTACTC